GATAATGAAACAGTTTCATTATATACTGTAATACCAAATGATCATGGATCACGGGTTTATATAAAGATTTTGAGAAAGCAAATAAAGTTCATTTTACTATAATACTTTGATCCATAATCGTTGTTTACAGATCGAATTGATGTAGACAATTTCTTTATATCGTCCATCATATCATGATATAAGTTTGCATCTTTGAATTAGAGACTCTGAGTACGAATCAGATTGTATGTTTTGTTGTGTTGTATTACTCACTTAACGAAATATATTTATTTCGGCTACGAAAAATTAATAATATAATCATTCACTCTTTGACTCGATCGTAAATACTTATTTTTATAAAAATGTGGATTTTATGTAAGTATCATATAATTAATAAAAAAAAATATGTGAATTTTTATTGAAAAATTAGGAATCTGCATCTTAGAAAAGAAAGAAAAAAGTATACAGTGTTTCAAGAAATTCATACATTCACTGATAACACTTTATAAATTAATATGTGAGAGAGATGTAAATTGTTATTTTAGGAAATTCCCAGTACTATACATATGCATGTTTGTAATATATATAATTAGCAACTGATTGAATCTCTTCACCCTCCACCTCTTACCCACCACAAAATTGTGATCATTATAGGTTCATGTTTTGTGATAATATGTCCTTCATTTGCAGTGAATATAGGCCCCTCATCACAAAGTTCTGTAATAATTAAAGTGGAGTTACCCCATTAACATGTACATGATCATCACACACACACACTACATATATATAATATTTGTATGTATGTAAATAATCATCCTCAGTGCCTGATTCAATAACATGGTTTCATTGTTATTCTTGATTCTTATCTCTCTGCATTTTTCAACTCCATCACTAGCTTATTACAATGGCTTTATGCAATGTTTTGATTCCCATTTAAAATCCTCCTCTAACATAATCTTCACCAGAAATGATCCGCAGTATTCTTCTGTTTTGAAATCTTCAATCAGAAATCTCAGATTCTTGAACTCAACTCTCAAACCTGAACTAATTATCACTCCTACTCATGAATCCCACATTCAGGCAGCCATTCTTTGTGCCAAGAAACAAAGCTTGCAGGTAAGGATCCGAAGTGGCGGCCACGACTATGAGGGTTCATCCTACTTATCTCATCTTCCATTCATGATCATTGACCTTGTCAACCTCAGGTCCATCAATGTTGACGTGGAAAACGAGTGTGCATGGGTTGAATCTGGTGCGACAACAGGTGAATTATACTATAAGATTGCTGAGAAAAGTAAAAGCTACGGTTTCCCAGCTGGGACTTGTCACACTATTGGAATCGGAGGACATATAAGTGGAGGTGGATTGAGTGTGATATCAAGAAAATATGGTTTAGCAGCTGATAATGTGATAGATGCAAAGATAATTGACGCGAGTGGAAGAATTCTTGAGAGAAAATCCATGGGAGAAGATCTTTTTTGGGCCATTAGAGGAGGTGGAGGGTCAAGTTTTGGAGTCATTCTTTCATGGAAAATCAAACTCAGTCCAGTTCCGAAAATAGTGACCGTGTTCAAGATCGAGAAAACACTGAAACAAGGAGCAATCAGACTGCTCCAAAAATGGCAAAACATTGCATATAAGCTACCTAAAGAGATTTATCTTCATGCAACCATGGAAAACATCGATACTACAAGCAATCCACATGGAGAACCAAGTATTATAATTTCCTTCGAAGCCTTGTTTCTTGGACAGACTCAGGAACTTCTCCTTGTAGTGCAAGAAGCTTTTCCAGAATTGGGTTTATCTAAAGAAGCCTGCAAAGAGATGAACTGGGTCCAATCTGTCCTTTACTTTGCTGGATTCTCGCCAAATTCTCATTTCGATCTATTGCTTAATCGCAGTGGACGAACATCGTTCAAATCCAAAACAGACTATGTGAAGAACCCTATTTCAGAAACTGGTCTAGAAGGTTTATACAAATTTGTTCTTGCAGAGAAAAAATTCCGGGTCCATTTCGAACCTTACGGAGGAAAAATCAGTGAGATTTCTGATTCCGAAACTCCTTTTCCTCACAGAAGTGGAATCATGTATGGTCTCCAGTATTCAGATTTCTGGGAAGATGAACAAGAAAGTGAGAAACATATAAAGTCGATGAGAAGCTTATATAATTACATGGGAAATTATGTTTCTAAAAATCCAAGAGCTGCGTATTTAAATGGACGGGATCTTGATCTGGGCATGAATAGAATTGATGGGAATACAAGTTTTGAAGAAGCAAGCACTTGGGGCTTCAAGTATTTCAAGAATAATTTCAAGAGACTTGTTCATGTGAAAACTGCTGTTGATCCTTCAAACTTTTTCAAGGATGAACAGAGCATTCCAATATTAGAGTAATG